GCCTAGAATAATGCAGTTATTCACTTTTTATTATGATGAATCAAACTTTGAAGTAATCCATGTTTTTAAGACAGACACTTTAAAAATCTCTTGATGTATTTTAACCAAAAGGTAAGCGCTTTCCTGTTTCCATTTCAATCAGTTGGTCCTCAGAAAAATTTGAAAATCTTCAGAGTGAGAAAACAAAGTATAAAAGGGAAATAAAAGATTTAAAGAAACATTGATTTATGAAGCAATTTCAATTTGTACCTTTGATAATCCATGTGTTCCCTTAAATACCCTTTTAGGTATTACTTAAATACCAATATAACAATTTAATTGGGTATTTTTTTGACATCAAGCTAGAATGGGAAACAAAGTTTGCATAGGCAAAACCTTCAGGGTAATTGGCTTACAAATGGAATATATTCCATTATGCCAAAAAACAAATAGTGGGAAAAATGAGTGAAGTATGCATTACACATTGTGTTCTTGCTCTACCATGAAAGGGAAAATACTAAAACAAGTAAAATCTTTACATTAGAAATAAAATTTTTCTTTAATAAAAAATGATAAGCTATTAGTAAATATCTTTTAAACCCATTTCTCATTTACCCTGAAAATACTTGCCAGAGGTGCTTGTGGCTATAGCGTTTACCCCGAGATAATTCGCAGATTACAGTCCTAACCTTATTTCCAAAGTTCGCCATAAAATAACTCGCTTTTGGTATTATTTTCATATGGCTCCACTATAGCGATAGTCTTTGGAAACAAGTGACATCATTCTATTTATAGCATTCTGTTTTTAGAAGAGGTATTTCCATTTACAAAATTTAGTAATTCTCAATCGCTGAAAATGTCAAATCCTAGAAAACATAGCATTCTTATGTGTGACATTAAATTTACACTGGCAGCAACTGCACTTTCTTTTTCTAAACAGGAATTAAAGCTTTTGCTGTTATCTTTTATGCTACTGAAAAATCAGCAGCACTAGCAGCCTTTATTCACAAAGAAAAGCTTATGTGGTCATGTCACTGATTACTGATTCTAAGGCCACCCCAAAAGTCAGTGCTTCTAAATGGATACAATGTATACTATATACAATACTCTCAAACACATCTGGCTCTGTTACATGCCAGCAGAACTGCACATGAAATTGAAGGTCTGCTGTCATAGTTTTTTATATAAACCAGAAAATAACATAGACTTTTTTAATGCTCTCCCTAGTATTGCCCATTCAACTGAGGCCATTTGGCCTGCAGCATTAGGGCCAGTCTATGTTTTTCATCCTCAATACACTCTGGCAGGTCTGCTTCCTGAGTTGTGGCCAACAGCCAATATTCCATATATTTAGTTTTACTACTTTACTCCTAGAGGCATTGCATGAACAGACTCACTTTGTAACAAGATGCCGCTTTCCTGCCAGTTTGCATAAGACTCCTGGGAGCTTCCTGTTATCCATCCTCATAAGCTTGACTTTCCACTTCCTAGACACTTAAGGGATTTCACTGACTGTTAGTGAATCAGACTACCCTAAGGACAGTTTGTAATGAAAGTAGCTCCGTTTGGGATGTCCCAACTTCTCCCTACTGTTTGCTTCTTTTGTTAATGAAATGGGCCAAGGTGACCTTGTTTAAGTAATAGCCTCTGTTAGGGAATCTTGTCAAAGGCCTTTAGAAAATCTGTCCCCCTACCCTCCACTCCCTGCCACCCGCTCCCTTTTCTTCATCCTGTTTTATCTACTGAAAATGTTCTTTAAAAAGATCCATTTGTATTTAAGTCTTTGGTGCCCCATTTTCCATTGTGGAGTAGCTATCTCCACTCATTCTTTAAACTCCTTAAAGGTTTATCGATGCCAGGGCTGAGCAAGGTCTGAACTCACCCAGAGTTGGTGTGCTTACCAAGACCTACATTCATGCATGTCCCCGGAATCTTTCTTCCTGACAGGGGTCACATTGGCAGTCTAGCACAGTAGCTTGCATAACAGTACATTTCGGTGGCCTAATTTCACCCTTGAGTTCCTGCAAAACTCTCATTGAGCTGCCTTCCACTTGGTGATTTATCTAGATTTATTATGTCGATTTGGCAGAATAGCTCTGTTACAACAACTGTTAGATTTAATAGCATTAGTCTTGCATTTCCAAAAATACAAATATATATATA